GGGAGAGGGGAGAGGGGAGAGGGGGAGAGGGTGCGGCTGAGCGTCCTGCCTCTACCTGTCCGCTCCCGCCTTGGGTTCCCTCACAGCACCTTTGTTAACTGACTTCAGAAAGAAAAGACAAAACCAACAATGAGGACACCTGTTGGGAAAGCGAGCACAGTAATGGCCACGATGACGGCGGCCTGGCGGGGGGAGGGGGGTTGGACTCACTTCCGCCCTCGCCAGCTGCGGCAGAGGGTGAGGAGGTGGCCAACCCGACGCACAGCGGGAGCCCGGCCCCCAGGGCAGCAGCGGGAGCAAAGGAATAATGGGAAGGCGGCGGAAGGGTCTGAGCCCCCTGTGGGTCAGGGACATGGGTGGGAAGATGCGGAGGAGGTGGATTTGTTGCTGTCGTGGTTTGTACTGAATTAAATACTTCGTAAAGTGGGTGTTTCCTCCACTCTGATTGGTTAAGACTCTGCCCTTTCAGTCCCACTGCGGGGCGGGGGGGGCTGGGTCGGGCGGGGGGGCTCCTGGGGCTCGAGTCCTGACGCCGCCTCCGCGGGCTGCTCCCCGGCGAGGTCGCGGTGGCAAAGCGCCCTTCCGTTAGGAGAAGTCCGAGGCGTGTGCTGCGGAGGCCCCGCGCCGTGGCTCAGAAGCCCCTGATGTAGCAGTAGGCCTCCAGCGTGGCAAAGAGTATGTACAGGAGCCACAGGCTCACGAAGAGCCACGTCGTGGCCAGCTTGCAGCCGCGAGGGCCGCCCAGCTCCCCGCCCAGGTGCGGCCGCCGGCGGTACAGGAGCACGCTGATGCACACGAACGCGAAGATGGTGAAGAGGGTGACCGAGAAGGCCAGCGTGCCGGCGGACACGTAGAACTCCTGTCCCTGCAGGGCCCAGTAGATGGCGGCCACGGACCAGGCCAGGCCGATGCCCAGGAAGACGTTGATGGCGTTGCTGCCCGTGACGTTGCCGATGGAGGCATCAGAATACGTATCCTGGATGGCGGCGGCTTTGCTGGCAAACATGTCTGGAAAAGGGAGAGACGGTGGGAGCTGCAGGGAGCCTGAGACGCGGAGGCTCCTCCCTCCATCCCCTCCCCCCATGCGTCCAAAAGGCAGCTGGGGCCCCAGGCCAAGCTCAGGAAGGAGAGGCAGGGGCTCCGCCATGAACGGGTTGTGTGACCTTGGACAGGTCACCTCACTCCTCCGGGCTTCAGGTTCCTCATCTACTGGGGCCTGAACAAGGGCCTGTTGTTCCTGATATTTACTCAGGAGGTTTGCTGTTCCCTTTGGATTATTTTTTTCAGTAAGGGGAGTTTGCTATCCCATGATGATCTGCCCAGGGAACCTCAGCATCCTGGGAAGCTGCTGAGGGTAAATGCCTGATTGTAACCATCACATGGGGTATCAGCTCACGTAACACAGTCATGGGCAATGCCCTGGGACTTGGCATTGTGTTAGGGGCTGGATTTACGCGGACAGAGGACACGCCAGGGAACCATGAGGTATGGACTCAAGGAAGACAGGGCTCTGCCTCTGTGGTTAGTATATGGGACACAGGGCCCTGCAAGCTGCTTGACTTTAGATGTTGGCGTGGATTGTAGGCATTGGAAGGGCTGTCAGGGACATCTAGCCACCCTTTGATTTCACAGGTAAAGGAAAATAAGGGTCAAGGAATCTACCCAAGGTCACACGGGCAGCTAACAAGACATATGGCCCTAAAACCCTCATGGAAGGGCCCTTTGCATAGCACCACCCCAAAGAATTTCGGGCAAAGCCATGAAATCAGCTGGGTGCACCACCGCGTAACCTTTGTCAAGCCCCTAATGCTGCCAGCCACTCCCTGGGCCAACTGCAAGGACTTGGAAGTGTCCCAAGCTCTCTCCTTGCCCGCCTGTCCTGCCTCGCCTCCTTGTTGCCAATTTTCTCGGATCTCCCAGAGAAAACCTCTTGCCTGTTCTTGCCTATGACCTTGCTTTTCCGCCTCTGATCCTCTGCAATTTCTTCCCACGAGTGTTCCTTTTTCCCCTGTGGTAGTTCTGCTCCTTCCCCTCTGATAGTTCCAGTCCCTTGAGGCCTGGAGAACAGAGATCACAGGGCATCTCCCCCACAAAGCCTTCCGTGGATCATCCGTCTAACTTCCTACCACCTGACACATTTCCATGAGAGCCTTGCACCACCAATGTACAAATAATCCCACTGCTCTGAGCTGGGGTTTGAGGGCGCGGTTTTCCTGGAGTGTCATGTCAATTCAGTTACCCTCTAGAAGGATTTATTCTCTTAGTCCAGGAAGGGTTTCCCTGGGTCCAGCCAGCAGAGTTCTGTCTGATGGGACTCAGCCTAACCCTCCTGGCGGAGGATGCTCTCTCTTCCTTGCTGTGGTTAGCAGCAGGGGAGGCTCCCTGGCAGGAGCTCAGATGTCCTGGACACCCAGCTGAACTAAGTCAGGAGCCTGAGCTAACACAGCCCTCTGCAGGCTAACTGCTCCTTGTCATTCCAGCCCAGCTTATATAAGCCTCTCTTGGAAGCCATCCACGACCCAGTCCAGCCCAGGTCCCCCTGTTCTGTGCTTACACAGCACCTCTACTCTCTTGTCACTGAACTTACTGAGATGATTTGAGTTACAGGAGTTGAGTGCAGTTTCTGCCAGTAGCTGCTGAACTCCGCTCAGAGCGGGGAGTGCGCCTGCCCGCCCCCCATGACAGCCTCAACGACTAGCACAGGACTGCATCGGGCTCGGTAAATATCTGTCTGATGAATGAATAAATTCATGCCTGCTCTTGTTCGGCTTTGGATGTTTATAAGAAAAGAAAAGAATATGTAATTCATCATAGGAAAGGACAAGAGCTCACTAAGCTTCCTCTCCTGTCCCGCCAGGAGACAATTTGTACTCACAGGTGTCCTTCTAAGTGAGGAAGCCAAGAATGCTTGTGAACATTTCTATTGTGACATCTTCAAGTGGGCTAATGTTTAGTCTCAGCGGCTGCCAGAGACAAGTGGGAGGAGAACAGTATCTATAGTCTTTGAATTACGTTGTTTGTGGCCTTCATATCATGTGGAGGTTAAGAAAGTGGGCCACTCACGTGGGCAGTTGACTTAGCTCTGTGGGCCTCAGTTTTCTCATTTGCCATGTGGGGATAACAACGATCCCGATTACATAGGGTTTTGGTGAGCATTACAGAGAGGAAACCTGTAAACCGCGTAGCATACACAGTGCCCGACACATCAAAAGCGTTCAGGAAATGTTAGCTCTCTCTAGTAATGGTTTTCATTAATCCCTTTGGCTTCTGTGCACCTTCGGGGCAGAGGCTCTGTTAAGCTCAGATTCGAGAGAGTAAGGAAGATACTGAGGTAAAGTGGAGGGGTCCCTTGGACCTGGTAATAACCTCTTTGCGAACCCAGGCCCCCCTCACTCTTACCTGGCACAGAGGTGCCAAATGCCACAAAAACGACAGCGGTGACGGAGTCCTTGAGGCCAATGGTGCAGCCGAAGTGGGAGGCCAGGTCCCCGATTATGGCCGTGAGCATGCCAATGATGAGAATGGACACGACGAAGCAGGCCCAGCCATGGCAGTACTCTGTGGGGGGCACGCAGGCAAACAGCACCTTCCAGAAGACCGTCAGGAAGTGCATGACGTAGTCAAAGCAGGACGGCAGCCGCTCCTCCCCGGACTCATCCTCATCGTCGTCCCCGGCTGCGGACCAGACAAAACAGGCCCCGGGGAAGGGCAGCGAGGTTAGACGCCCCCCCACCCCGTTCAGCAACAAGTCAAGTCAACGCACGCGGCAAGCATTATTAGCCGGCAGGAGACTCCAGCCCTCTCCTGGGCAGTGGCGTGGGCCAGGGCCCGGGCGCCAGACGACAGCGGGGTAAAGGGGAGCCGAGTGGGGGTGCCCCACTGGTTAATGTGAACGCAGGGCACCCGGGAGGGTGGGAGGGAGAGGACGGGGGAACAGGGAAAGAAGAAAGAAGGGAGAAAGAGAGAGGCCGGCCGGCGGGGGGGGGGGGGGCGGGGGGAACACGGGAAGGACAAGGCTACGAAGCAGAGCGGAGGGGGGAGCAGGCTGCGTCCAGGTGCCTGGGTGAAGAAAAGCGAAATCAGCCGCGTGTCCGCTCTTCACTGGACGAGGGCGGAGCGCCTCCCCAATGTTCCTGACACGCCTGCGGCAATAACCTCGCGGTTCTGGTTGCTATCCGTCCCGGGGCGGGGGGGGGGGGGGGCGGCTGTCCTTCCAGATCATGTGGGCATACTAGAGACTTAGCGCCATCCTCCCGATAGCCCGTGGGACAGAGCAGGGCTGGGCCCCATTGTCCTTACCAGGAAATGGGGGCCGAGTTGCCCGCTCGGCAGTCCGGGAGGAGGGGGCGTGCTGAGGCCCCCTGGTACCTCGTCCAGGGCCACCTCTGTTATGTTTGACACAATCAGGGGAAGCTAGGGTTTTAAAGAGCAGGAGTTAGGGCGCTTGAGTTCCCGGTGCAGCTTTGCCGGGAAGAGGATCAGTAAGCTGAGGAAAATCCCCTCTTATATCTGAGCCTCTGTTCCCTCGCTTGAGAAAGGAGGGGGTTCGCCTATAGGGTCGCCTATATTCTGTTTATTGTCCCTTTAGGGTCAAAGTAAGGTCATCAAAGGGGGACCTGGGGCGATCTGAGGCGGGCGATGTGAGACGTGGGGCAGCAGCTGCCGCGGCCACCCTCTCTTGCCGGCGGTACTTCTGCCCTGGCTCCCGGGCCTCAGGCATGGGACCCTGTGGTTGCTATGACAGCACAGCCTCATGAAAGCAGACAAGGCCAGTGGAGCTGCGCAGTACGGGGAGGGCTCCGCGGTGCCAAGAGGCACTATGGGTGGTGGTGGAGAGACCTCGTCTGGGGCCCTGGCTGTGCTCTGGGCCACCACTGAGGGAGCCTGTCGGGGAATGGCCAAGGAGAGGTCTTGAATCACCCGGGGTGGAGGTTTGTCAGTGTTAGTGCAGAGATTGTACAAACTCTGGACCCCCACGTCTCTAATCAGAATTGTCCCCCAGTTTACAGAAAAGGTGGCCCAAAAAAGTGAGAGGAAGGAATGATGGAAACCAGAATTTAATGAGTTCCTGTTTGGTACCAGGCTCTACCATTCTGCTTTGCTGAGAAAGGTTGAAATGGTTCCCTTTTTGAATGAGGAAATTGAGGTGGAGGGCGGGTAAATTGTCCCAGGTCACACGGGGCGGCCAGGATTTGAAACCAGTGATAGCCATGCTCTTCTAGCTACCCCATGATTCTTTTCCAAAGTGACCTGGTAAAACAGGCCAAGAGCAAGGACTAGAGCTGGGACACAGGGCCTGCCCAGAAATTGGCAGCTGCTGATGGGGCTGTGTTCTCCTTTCTCTGGCATTGCCTGCTTCTCTCAGCAAGGCCGGTGCCTCTTACCTGCACTGACAGTGATGGCCTCCATGAATTGGTCCCTCCAGGAATGGGTCCCCACAACCATGGCCAAGTTTGTCTTCTTGATCAGTTTGTCCACCGTATTCTGTCAGGGAGATAAAAACTTGGAATCATGAGGTTAGAATGCTCAGAATTGTTGAGGAGTCTGGTGTTTCAAGGGAATTGAAAGATGTCTTGCATTCCAGGTGTATCCACATGGGTCCTGGGAGTAATGGCCTTGGATGATATCTTCTGGGTCAGTCTTTCTATTTCTCTTTTCTTTGGTTGTGATGGTGGATATTGGATACTAAGAGCAATAAAATAGAGCATAACGGTAATGATGCCAATAAACCTTGCCCCAGAGTAGTAAATTTTAGAATCTTTGTTTTTAAAATACAGTTAAACAATAGTGATAATACATCGAGGGGCTTTATAGCCCATTATTCCATTTGTTATGTTTCCTCCCAATATTCCTAGGATCTAAATGGCCAGCACTATTAGTTCCATGTTACAAATGGGGACACTGACACTGGGTGGGTAAGTGATTTGTTCAGTTTCAGCTTCACTATTCAGTGGTGAAACTGTAACAAAACTTCTACCTCCCACCGCATTACTCTATTATTCAATTAGATCTCATTTATGGCCTGACCTTGAACTCAAAGGACTCTTCAATGATGACCTCTAGTTTGGGGTGTTCGCCCAGTACTGGCTTTCCCATTTCTGCTATCCTCTTGGCTTCCTCTTCCTCCACAGTCAGCTTTCTGTCTGTCACCTCTGCAACAAAACAGAATCAGACTAGCTTTAGCACATTCACCACTCCCTAGGAGTCTAAAGCTCAGAGTATTAGGCAGGGGCAGTGGGCACAAAGCAAACTTCTCTCGAGAGTAAGGACTTCAGGTATTTTTTAGTGCGTCTTTCTATAACGTGCTAAACGTTTTATGACCATCAGACCCTGAGAGGGTCCCCTGAGGGCCTGGAATAAGCATTCCTATTTCCATTTTGTAACTGGGTGAGCAACCTGACCCAAAGACCTTCCAAGAAGTAGCACCTACTGAAGTCCCCAAGTCATCTGGTGAGATATTGGAGAGTTGGGAACAAAAGCATTTAACAACTTTGAATTGTTGGGCTGGACTGTTCAACTACTTGATATAAAAGTTCTTGGAGGTCAGAACCACATGTTAATCCAAAGGATATGTCTACTGGTCCCCCCCATTAACATCTGTTTCCAACACCGTTCGGACTGTGCCCTCTATAGAGGAGAAAGGAGGAATATCTACACTCCATACAAGTGAATGTTATCCCCACAGTGAGAAACTTGCAAGATTTCCTGATTTTCCAATGAAAGATCCCCAGGATTTCTGTAGGAACCAGGCACATTTCTTCTGGAACAGAAATACTCGTTCAATCAAAACCAAAAGGAAGCTCTTCCTTTACTTTTTTTCTGAGGCATTCCCTGTGTCCCTCAGCATCTTGACTCATTTACCAGAGGTCCCTTCTCAGGTTGAATGGTGGGAAAATTTTTCCACTTCAACTGGTGAGTCCATTTTAAGACTACTTCACCATGAAGACATGTTTTCTGGATTAAAGTGAAATAGAGATTGAATCTTTTTATTCCCCTTTGATTAGAAAATTGCTCTTGGCAGCCTGTTTCTTTCAGAGATCATTTAAACATCTTTCCTTCCAAGTCCACATTCTTACATGCAATTAATTCTTTTATTCAGTTCCTTAATTGCTTTCATTCCACACAGTGAATCTCCTATGGGAATCCTTTAGTCCTTGGATAATCTCAAGGACAAAGTGGGTCAGAGGCCAAGGAGGTCTTCTTTTCTCTCTAACTTGGGAATCGGTGAAGCGTAGGGACAGGTGAGACTCGAGCTCTTGAAGTTGCAAGGAAAGGAATTCACTGGAAAGACGATAAGCCAAGAGTGTAAGTTACCAGAGAGGCTGTTTTATATAAGGATTTTCTTAGTTGTCCTGAATGAAGATGGGAAGAAAGTATGTGGAGGATTCCTGAGCTGGCTGTTTCACTCAGTGCTTCTCGCACCAAATACAGAAGGCAATCCCAAAACGTTTGGGAGCTGTCCGTGGTGCTGTCCTCCTGCTAGTGTTGGTGACAGCTTTCAGAAGCAATTATTTCTCAAGGATCAAAATCCTGTCTATTTCTAAGTAAGCAGTCACCCTTTAGCAGCCTAACTTTATTCAAGCCGTTGATTCTGAGTCTTATTAGTTAATTATGAAGGTAAATCCGGGTACACCTAGGGTTCTGGCTATGAAGTCAGTCATCCTAGAAGCCAGACTACAAGCCACTCTGAGAAAAAGCCTTTAGAAAAAGACTTATAGATTCTTTAAAAGCAAGGGTACTTTTTTCCTCTGCTTGTAGGTTTTGGCACCATATCATAATGGCTATCCTAGCAATGACAGTATTATTCTACTCCTCCCTCCCCGATGCCCCCATGTCATACTTTACATGTGCCTCAAGAACTTTATACCAATATAATGAGCTCTCCAGTGACATATAAATGTACCTGTCTAACCCCTTGTCCAGCTATCAGTCTGGCACTATATCCAGCTGGCAGGATATTGATCTACCTACTGACCTGTCCACCCCTGTGGTGACAGTCAGTTTTTCCATCTAGCTTTTTGCAAAAATCTCTTTGACAAATACCAATCCTCTATCTTTGGATCTCCCACAGCCCCACAGAGGTACTCCATATATATCGGTTAAGTGATTGATTCACATGCCTTTAAATCAACTCTGATTTAGTGTCTTGGTTTGGTAGAAATTCCTGCCTTTGTCTATCTTTGGTAATGATCATTCTTTTACATTCAAATTAATTTCTTGAGAGAGTGAAAAGTCTCAAATCTAAAAGTCCACAATGATTGTGATAGCTTGTTTATGTAAGTCCTCAGAATTTCAAGCGAAGGGAATAAATGATAGGTGATTTTGATATTTGGACTGACTGAAGAAACTCTCAGATCTCAGAAAAGGGGGGAGGGGTGCAGAGAGAGAGAAAGAGAGAGAATATGAATAGGATGAAAGATTGAGCAAATATTGGAAGAACAAAGAGCTTGCCAGGCCAGACAAGAATAGATTGCTGTGAATGCTCTACATGTATCCTCAGAAAGAAACGGGGCAACGCAGCTAGTGCGCTCAACTCCCAGGTCCCTGAACTTGGTGGTGTAGCTCAGAATGAACATATTTACTCTCTGTCTTTCATCACCAGGCATTGTTAATCATGTCTGCCTGTCTGCTCAGGAAAATCCAAACAAGAATTTGAAATTTCCAGTGAATTTAAAGTCTACCCATGGGCCCCTAGATTAAAAGTCTACAGACTGAAAGATCTAGAAAATGATACCTTCTTTTCCTATTTCAGCTTTTATTGGTATTTTTGCAAATATGTTAAAAGTACAAGAAAGCCCAAATTAAATCACAATCTTTGTTTTGTGTATATATGCGTGTGGTTGGTGGTGGGGGTGGGTAGAAGCAAGAGTTGGAAGCCCAAATACCTCTTCAGGCAAGAAGGTAAGTGAAGTAGAGAAGGAATTCCTAATGCTATGGCATTAATACCCTGAGGGAATAGTGGAATATATGGGGTCAGAGGTAGTTCTTATCCTGTTGGTACAAAGAGGAAGCAAATGGCCAAGGAAGCTGGAGTCCCTTTTTTTCAGAAAGAAAAAAATGTAGGGTTACCTATTTTTATTGTTGTTGTTTAAAGGCTCCAAGGAGGTCAATGTTCTTAATATATATATTGCCCCTTCTCAAAACCAGGGTTCAGCCTATATGTAATTTTGAATACCAGTGAATTCTGTAAGATGTTTCGCCTCTCGAATGCTCCTAAAATTTGCTATATGTTCAAAGAGCTGATGAATTTAAAGTGTTATTTTAACTTATATTGAGACATCTTGTATAGCTCACTCTGCCTGCACTGAGAGTTATAGTACTGCTGATATGCTGGAAATGCTTTCCTTTCTGCTCACAAAGTTGGATGTTGTTTATGATTTCATTCCACTGATGCAAGCATACTCTCAAAGAAGGTGTACATCCTACAACAGAACCTAGATTCAGCATGAGAATATGTCCAAAATAAATTCTCCCAAATTTCTATTTCCAGCCAGATAATTGCCCCCACCACCCATAATATCCTAATTCTTCTTCATGTTCATGACACATGTGACTTCAATGACAAATGAACAAAAGTTCTAGCAACTTAGGTCTCAGCTGTAATGAGATGGAAGATCTCCAGGATCAGTAAAATTCCAGATTTTTCAAAAGTTGCTTTTCATGTTCTCACAGCAGCTCCTGATTATTTTCCCCTGGTTCCTTCAAGATCAAAGTATTTTCTTTCAAATCCCATCATGATCCCATTAGGAGATTCAGCCCAGATTCTCATCCTTTCTTGCCCTACAACATGAGATGACAGATGAATTAAAACTCAGGAGAAGTCTATGACCCACTGTCTGTTTGGTAAGTTTCAACTCACTTCCTGGTCCCAGAGAGGACCAGCTCTGCCTTTACCCACATCCGCTGACAGAAGTGGTGCTCAAAGAATTGTCTACTTCCTCACAATTACTTCAAGTGGGGAAATAAACCTCTCAGTCCTTAGGAGAACTTGTCAGGTTAGCTTGAGCCCACAGTTCCTATTAAATCAAAGGACATTGGTCTTAAACTAAATAATGGCACTGGCGAGAAGTAGAAAAGAGGGGGCAAGACACCTCTTACCTGGAGACAACAGGAGCGCTGTTTGCAAATGGGTACCAGACAAGGGGAAGAAAGAAAAGGAAAGAGCATTAAGGTCCCATCTTGAAAGTATCCCCAGGCTTTGTGGTTGCAGCAGGATAAGGAAAGCAGTGAGCTTAGTGGGTGAGAGCTTTGCAGCCACATGCAAAAGGCAGCATTTAGGGCATGCACAGCAGCAGCAAGAGGTATAAGCCACTGGAGGGACTGCTGAGCACCAGAGCCCTGCAGCCTGACTTTCCCCACACCTTTCCTACAGCTCTGGGGGCAAGGGGAAAAGGAATGAGGATGGGGAATCCATGTGAGCGGAGCAGAGACAGAGTTGGTCATTCGTGATCTTCTAAGAAATCAGGTTATCTATCCATTCTGTAAAGGAATGAGGATCCAGTTACCATGAAAACTGTAGAGTGTCGCTGGCTTATCAGGGGGGCATATGACCCTGGGGCTTGAGTAGGAGTTCAGGGTCCTGAGCAGTGGCCTACAACAGTGGAACAGTGTTCAGTCCTGAGTCTTCCATCCCTGACCTTATAACCAGATCGGGCTTAGCTTCCCAGTGCCCATAAAACTTCCAGGGCCACAAATAGCTTCCTAGCTACCATGTTGGCTGGAACTTTGAGTTCTGCAAAATGTTTTCTTTGAATGGTTTATCTTTTTATAGATACAGCCTAGAGGTTAGGGTAGTACCATTTTGTATTACCTGTGCCTAGCAAAGTCACCACAACTAGTAGGGGTTCAATTGAGGTTTGTTTTTTGCCACCTATTTTGGCAATTGTATTTTTTATAGATCCTGTGGGGCTGTATCTCTGGATGGTGGTGTTTTTGTCCCAGAAAGGACAGGTTAACTAGGGTCCAGGTATTCTGGACCAGAGAAACTGTCATACAGAAAGCTATTTGTGGATGGGAGATGACAAATAATAAGGCCCCTACATGGACTGGGAAGCTGAGTTAGACGTACCTAATGCAGGGCATTCCTAGCTCCCGAATTTGGACTTACGCTAAAAAATTCTTGTGACATACCACATTTTCCTCTCAGTGGTGTCTCAGTACGGCCCCACACTCCCTGGCTCTTGTCAAATAAAAGTCTGGTAACATCCCACCACATCCTCCTGGTAAAGCTGGTGACTGACGGTGCCAAGGAAGGAGCGGGGGCGGTGTCTGTGAATTGTTTCTTCTAAAAATCTCTAGGAATGCAACTCGGGCCAGTGATCCACCATCTCACAGTCACAACCACTGAAGACATGTGGACTGAGAATTTTTATGGTATATAAGCAGAGCAAACAGCAGTCAACTTTTTCTGGTTTCTCCCATATGGAATTCCAAGGGGTAATTGAGTGAATCTCCTTGCTACATTGAGATGGATAGGTAGACAGACAGATAGCAAGAGAGCTTGTTCATTCTGCTCCTTCTATGGATCTGTACAGAAGCAGAACCCTTCCTGGCCCTCAAGCTCCAGGGGAAACCAGAAACCCGAACACATCAGGGAATCCAGGTAGGCCAGACAAGGGGTAGCTCTTCCAAAAAGGTCCCTGCTGCCCTGGTTTTCACTCAGAAGTCCCTCCCAACCCAGGATCATCTCTATCACAATGAGAGGGCTTGCAGTCAGCTGGAATCGTACCATTATGTGGCCATTGTCTACATGAATTTGAGACTTTCCACTTAACAGTTATAGATGGGTCAGCGAGATCCAGATAGGCCAATTCTGAGTGACATAATACCTCCAGGGTGTTTTTCCTGCTGCTGCTGATGAGAAAATCTGCAACTGAATTTTCCCCTGTATTGATCCCCAGGGTCAGGGGAGCATCATTTATCCCTGCTCAGATACCCCAGGGACATACAGGAAATAGCATAGCTCTGTGAGTAACTGGAAGCATCTGGGCATCTTGTCAGGGTGAGCCCACTGATGTGGTACAAGGGGGCACAGACAGGCCCCATGACTGGGGGAGAGTGCTTTCCTTTCCACATGAGGCTCCAAGTGTCCAGCCCCAACAGCCTTGACCATGCTGCTAGGTGTTGCCCTCCAATGTCTACTTCAGGACTAGAGCACTTACTCTACACCAGAGCAACCATGTTTCCTATTCATCCTTCCTTTTCCCTCCTCTAGCTTATCCAGAGCATTTAATCTCACCTCTAAAGTCTGTTTTGTTTGCCAAGAATAGAATCTGCTATTTCAAATACAGTCCTTTTTTTTTTTCGGTAACGCAATTGTCATTTTGACCATGCAAAGTCTGTGCTGTTCTGAATGCCTAAGACTCTCCCATGCAGTAGTGATCATGAAAAGACAGCTTCTCACTCTGAGAACAGCAGGGAATTCTGAAAATCAGGATGGGTTTTCATTTGATTCTGAGTCTAGACAATCAAGTTGTATGACCTTTCACCTTATGGTCTAATGCCAAAATATGGGAAGATGTGAAGAAACTGAAAATACACAATAGACCAGGAGGTCAGGAAATGCACATATTTCCTATTGGCACCTTCCAACTTGGCATCTTGGTCACTGGGAAGACCTGGAGGATCCTTGCCTTCTCACCTACTCACTCCCTAGGACTAGGCTCCACTAGGACTTTGCTGACATCTCCTTGGACAGAGTTCAGGGCAAAAAAGAAAAAAGAAAAAAAAAGGTGGGGGGGGAGTAGCCAAAGGCATTTGCATTTGGTCAATTCTCTTGAAGAATGCAAGGTGTATCCTAGGTCACTCCCTGTCCTGCTGTTGATCAGGTTTTATTGGGGAGGCAGAAAAAAAAAGGGAGGCCTCTTTACTGGTGGAATAAAGTCATGGATGGACTTTTAACCCATTCTTCTTGTCTGGAGCCACTGCCTTCTTTCCATCTACCCTGAATGATCTTTTGTGCTGCTTTCATTTGTACCTACGTAGCAGAGACTATGGAAATTGATAAAGCTAGTTTACAATGGCCTTAGGTGTCTGCTGCATCCAATCAATCATTAAGAGGAAGAGTAAATGCACAAGGGAGGTGGGAATGAGGTAGGGCAGGTGTTGAGACAACTTCTGAGAATATTCTTGGTGGTTTGGCAGAAACACAATCTAAACAATGGAACTAGAGATTTTTTCCCCCACACTCTGGCAGTCAGGCTCATGGCGACATCCTATCAGGTGGCAAGGAGAGGATGAGTAATGGAAGATGGAGAGGGCTTTTGCTTCTAGAACACTAGGCATGTCCAGACCTGGGTGGACACAGAACTGGTCAGATCTGCAGAGAGAGTCCCCAGAAGACAGTGAGAACTGATCAATCATACCTGTCGATAAGACTTTAGGAGGATAGTTGCTGAATCTCTTAGATCTGTCCTTGAATGAAAGACTTTATGCTGCTCTTTGTCATGTGAATGTGAAGTAGTTGCAGAATAATCACCCTTTTTTGACAAACAAGTGGGTCTCACTGTTCCATTCTCCATGAGGCTCCCAGAAGCATATCTCTCCTGAAGGGGAGTGTGAATGTCCTTCTCTTGATATTTCCCAAGAGCACCTTTTCCATTCCCGCATATATTCCTCCAACACTTTCGAAGTAGTGGTTTCCAATCATTTTTCTTCAAGGGAAGAAATCTTTCCTTACATCTTCCTTGGTTGCAACATAATCAGTCCCTTAGGAATGGAACCCTAGCAGGTATCCCAAGATGCATGTCTTGAGGAAGGGAGGAGATGAGGCCATTCCCGTGGTGTGGGATGAGGCTTATCTTGGGATCTGGGTGATATTTCTAATTGCAGATGCCAAGCAAAGGCAGGCTTCTGTGAACTGTGTTGTTTCTCAGGGATCAACACCAACTACACCATTTAGAGGCCCTTCTCCTATCAGAAAACCCGTAAGTCAATACTCTGGGCCCGCCCAATGTCAGTCCTTTTCCAGGGCCCTCTGGCTGGGGAGATTCCCATATCTGGAATTATTTCCTTCCTTTTGCAGACTCCCAATTTTCTGCTTTAGGGATTGCATGGTCCTAAAGCAACCTGAATAAAGTTCCCTCCTTTGGGCTTGGAATAAAGGTAGAATGAGATGGGCTGGATGTCAAGGGGAGGAAGAATAGTTCAGGACTCCAGATCATATGACTACCTCAGACGCCAGCTCTGTCTCAGAGAGGTCTCAGAAGCTGTGGCCTCTGACATTTGGTATACCTTTTCATACTATGGTCTCCCCAGCTGTGAAATAGTCAGATAAAACACTTACCTCCATGAAGGGCAGAGGGACCTATGAACCACTCTGCAAGTGAATAACCTGCCAAGCACTCAAGGATGGTTGGGGAATGCAGCAGAAAATTGTCAAAGCGTCATTGCAACATGGGCCCCGGCCCCCACCCCAGACCCTTCCCCCATTCAATCCAGGCTCGAGGGTGAGGGGTGGGAGGGCAAGAAGGCAGGGAAGGGGTACAGACATGCATGGCATCACATTCCTTTCTTTTTCTTCTCCTCCCCACCCACCAAGGAGTTTCCACATTTACAGGGTCCATGTATGTGTGGGGGCTGTGGGGGAGAGTGCAGGGGACAGTGGTGATCGGATCACTGGAGCACAAGGTGGAAGGAAGTAATTCAGTAGGGTAATGAGGAGTTGAGGCTGCAGCGCTGTCCAGAAGGTGAGAAAGGAGGACTGGGGAATCAGCTAAGGCTAAGAAGGCAGAGATGACACCGAAACAGGGTGAGAGCGAGAATACAGGAGGGAAAAGAATAAAAAAGTCCATTGGTCAATAAGAGGAAAAAGGAAAAGGGAAGAAAATGGGGGGAGAAAAAACAGAGTTGCTTTTTGTTGCTGTTGCTTTTCAGTTTAAATTTTTCTCTTTCTTTTTGTTGTTGTTTTATTTTGTTTTGTTTTTTAAAGAATCTCACACCTGATATTCCACGTTCCATCCATTTCGGTTCACCAAGGACAATGAAGAAATTCTCTTGCCTTTCGTATTCCTCCTCATCTACTATTTTAACCCTTATGGTTTTCCTGTAGGGACAACAAGAGAGAGAGTGTGTCGACTGGGTCGGTAGATTGGTTGGTCACTTGGAGCACAGCCTTTAAAATCATTCCCCATCACTCCTGGCGCATGCAGCCCGGTCCCGCCATGGTGGCATTTGACAGGACTATGGTGGATTGTATTTTTCTCATATAAAAAAACGGTCTCAGCTTTTCTTGTCTCCTTGGTTGTAGTTTCCTTACGGGTGTGAAGGAAAGGGAGCCAGGAGGCAAGGAAAAGTGGGCAAAGGAAGGGTTCCAGGAGGACAGGAGGGAAGGGGGAAGGACAAGGGGGTGCTGGTGGGGAGGAGTCAGTTTTGATCCTGCCGATGGTTAGTAGGAAGTGAGTTGGGCAGCACATTCCATTGGGTGTCACATGGTAACTGGCATTTCTTCGGGAGGCAGGTAAACTACTGGCCCATTGGGAATGATCCAGGGCCCTTCTCCAACAGGAAATATGCCAATAGTACCTAGCTAGGGGCTCGTTTCCCTCCCTGTGTCTACACTCACTTCTTATGTGAGCCTCATAAAGAAAACTTTAAAAGTAAAGTATTTATCAGGAAGGGAAACGAGAGAGAGAGAGAGAGAAAGGAAGGCAGAATTCTAATATCTTTGTCATTCTTGATCTCAGGGCTTTGGCGTTGGGAACTAAAATAAGTATGTATTAACCACAGTATGACACAGGACTCCTTTAATGTTTACAGCGGATGTACTCCTAGGAATATGTAAAGAAAATGATATGTCATCACATTCTAAATCACCTCTGTACTTCTATCATATAGGGCTGATATGTCCCAAAGCTGGCTTCCTTAAATGCTGATTATCTGGGGCCTGGGGAAAATGGTGAAGGAGGTCTTTGTTCATTTCTGGGCATCTCAACAAAGCACAGTGTTTTAAAAACAAATCATCCAGGGAAGCAAAGTTTCCTTGAAAATCACTCCCCTCCAGAGACTGGCATCTGAGGCTGGCTCAGGCCAATTGTCATTGGAGAAGTTGCTGTGGGGGCCTGGATCATCCCCCTCTTGGTCCTTCATGGAACCATGGTGGGGTTGGCAGGTCCCAGCAGTGAGCCATGATTTTTGTTTTCTGCTAGCTTTGTCTTTGGCCTGGGACCTAAATGCTCTCTAAAGGGCAAAGCGGTGCTAACAAACAATAACCTAAAGTGTCTAATCAGAGCCTCTGATGTTCCTCTTCTATTCTGAAGACACGCTCAGCTTTGCTATCTGCAAAGTGGCAGACTGACCTGAGGTGGTTTGGTGGACACAAGATTTGCTGTGCATTTGTGTTTTGTGTGTGTGTTTCACAAGTACACTTTTGGTTACCCTTTCTTGGCACCATTTTTGGACACCTTTACATACTTTGCTCGGGAGAAAAAAAGACAAAGCTAAATGACTGTCAAGAAGAATTTTCTAGGAACTTCTCTCTAGGCCCTAGATAAGGGGAACCTGGGGCTACCCAGGAGCTGTGAGCCTGGTAGTTTTTCTCTTGCAGGGACTCTGCTGTGGGTTAGGAATGGGTGCCCTGTGACCAAGGGCCTGGGTGGAGGGACCTGATTGATGGCCCTGCCAGGGAAGGCACATTGCCCCCGAATACTGGCGGCTCCCCTCGACACAGTGGTCTGTCCAGAAGAGAATGTTCTGACTTGCCTATCGGAAGTCTGGGGTGTGTGGGTCATTTAAGTTGAAGGCAAAGGCTCCATCTGCTCTGAGAAATCCTGTGATCTCGTGGGAAAGCCTCCACTCAACTCAGAAGCCCTTCTCCCACCATTCTAACCCTCTGCCACCACACCTAGATGTTCTTTGCAGGGAAAACAGAGTCCAGCAGGTAGGTCTGTGACCTAGACCTCAAACTCAAACCTGTATTTTCAGCTCAATCAAAGTCAGAAGAGAAACACACCTTGATAACAGGAATATGGCAGAAAAGAGGGCTCCTAAGGCCTGCTCTGGGGAATGGGATGAACCGTAAATAGAACCCAAATCCAAATACATTGATTGCCAATGTCTGGGGACTCTAAGCTTAGCCCTGAGAATACCTGCCCCATGGGAGTCTGTGCTGAGCACAGGCCAGTTTCCCAGGGCTGCCTCCTGCCTGGCACTGTGCTGTGTGATCTTTTTCTTTCCTGTCTATGGAGCCATCCAGGAGAAGCAGAGAACCCATATACGATACTCTGCGCTCTGGCTGACTCTCTCTCTCTCTCTCTCTCTCTCTCTCCCCGCTACCCTGTCTTTTTCCCATATCCATTTCTCCATCCCACAGAAATTAGCATCGACTCTTGAACATCCCTCTTACGGGTACCATGTGACAGGCTGGCAGGTGTTAGGGCAGAGCTGGGATCAGAGAGAGGAGAGGGAGAGGTGGAAAGAAAGGAAACGAGAGAACAAGAAAGAAAACAAGGGGACGTGGACTAGAGCGGCAGAAGAAACGGGAAGAGAAGACAAACAGAACCGGAAGAAGAGAGGAGAGAAGAGTGTTAACGTTAGCGGGTAGGACAGGGCACTACACCTTTCTGAAAACTCATATCCACCATGCGGGGGCCCACCATCTCAATGAAGTAATTCTTGTTTTTCTCATACGCCTCATCATCAATTACCTTGATGTGAATTGCTTTGCTGTGGATGGAAAAATAAGTATCATAAGCATGGAGCAGATTGGGGTGGGGGGCAAGCCAGCCAGGAGAAGGAACAGGAAGAGAAGGAAACAGTGAGAAGATCCAGAAAGGTCAAAGTGTGCCCCCACGGGCGGCACCAAGGGGAGGGGCTGCCCCAGGCCCCCATCCAGTCTTCCTGGGCTCCTCTTAGGCTTCATGTGGCTTCGTGGCATGGTCAGACTTGAAAGCTGGAAAGTCAATGGTTCTGGGTTCTAATCTTGGGTATGCTATGTGACCTCGGACAAATAATGTAACTGATACACAAACAGGTTAAATAATGCTTACACCATCCCAGGGCGGTTGTGAGAGCAATGAAATAATACACATATGATGGCGCAGTCATTTAGGTCCTCTGTAATGTTTGCTTCCTTATCCTTCTTGCTTTGGGGACAGGGAAAATTTTTTTTTTTTTTAATTTTTTTGACTTTCAGAATCAGCTGGTGTTGGTCTGAAAGGCTTATGTTATACAAAGGACATGGATGGAGGGGCCTGTTGGCCTGTGGGAATCTTGCCTGGACATAGAAGGACTTTTCCCTTTCTCTGTGGCAGCGACTACCACGGGGAAGCCAGGAGGGCCACGCAGCTCAAGTCACACATTCTGGTAACTCACGAAGGGCTTCAGAAGCTACAAGCTACCTCCAAATAAGCCCTGCAGCCACAGGCGTGCACGGAGGGGATCACATGAATTCTAGGGCACTCTGAGTCCCAGTTACCTTACAAATCCTACAATGACCTTGGGACTAGCACAATTATACTATTTTTATGTGAAAAGGTGCTTTGTTAAACAATGAAATTCTTTCTTTCTTTCTTTCTTTCTTTCTTTCTTTCTTTCTTTCTCTCTTTCTTTCATTAGTAGGAGCTTTAAAAACAAAGATGGACCTGGGCCTCTCCCAACCTTTGCTTAATAATGGGGACATTTCAGCACCAGACTCTAGTGGAAGTGTCTCACAGAGGATGTGGGACACGGCTGGAGGGGGTGGGCATGGAGCTGAGTCTTCCCTCAGCAGTGGGACAAAGTGACGCATGCAGGGTGCCTTTTTTTAAAAATATGTATGTACATATAACACACACACACACACATATATATATATAAAGTAGGAATATCTTTACATTCTGACTTGGGACAACCTCTCTGCTCTCCCAAGTTTTCCCAAGTCACTGTTAAGAGTGTTGGATGCCTACAGAGCTTCCTTTGTCCACACTGTTGACCCTAGACAATCAAATGTGGGCCTGTGGCTCCCAAAGTGAATGAATAGCAGTTACTAATACACCTCAGCCCCCGCCAGTCCACGGCTTCAAAATCAAAGACTCCAAACCGTCATCACTGGCCACACCCACAGCCATCACAGAAAAAGCTGGTTCGTCAGCACAGAAAGCATGCCTGTTCAACCTCTGAAAGGCCTCTCTGGCCTTTTTTCCTCGAGAGCAGCGGTGCTGGTACTGGAGACTGAGGACTTGGGGTCAGATCCGGCCTCTACTTCTCACTAGCTGGGTGACCCGGGGCAACCTGCTAAAGCTCTTCAAGCCTCATTTGTAAAGTGGAGTACGAATATCTACTTCAGAGTGTTCTTAAATGAGATCATGCACGTGATGCACTTAGTGGGGTGCACGTTCCCTCGGGAGTGTTTAATAAATAGCAACCATTATTACTAAGAGCAATAGGACCCCGATTTGTTGGTTTGAGAGTATTTTATAAGGCAATCTTACCATCTCCAGTCATTAAGTCAGAAAATAAGGGGAGATCAGTACATAACACTGGTGGCCCAAGAGGGAGTACAGGCTGGAAACAGAAGTCAGGTCAAGAAAGGACTGGATGGTACAGGATGATCCATCCCAATGGGTTAGAAGAGGAGCTTGAAATGCTAAGGGCGAGAGCATAGATAGCAACTCATGGTTTTTCAGAATCTGGCCTTGTGTCTCAGTCAGCAATAAGCTCTGGGCTGGACAGACTACGTCCTTAGACATAGTGTGACTTGTGCTTGTGATTTTTAGCGAAGAAATAAAGAGAATAAGAGATGCCATCAATAACTCAGTGGAAGTCAGGGAAGTAAGGACAGACATTAGTAGTGACATGAGGAACTGAGGTTAGCTGTCTGGAACCCCTGGCGGGAGGAGTGGAGGAGGTGGGGTGTCAGACTCCCTTACTGGGATCAGTCATGGGGAAGGCATCACCTCTGTTTGGACCCTGACTGGAAGCTAGAGAAATCCCTTCTCTTCCAGCTCTTGAAAACCAAGTAAGTCCTCAACTCTACTCAAGCCACAGATGAAGCCACAAGAACATTTAAATTAAGTGAGAGCCACCAGCCAGGTCTTGAGTTCTCTTTCCAAACTTGTTCTTCCTCATTTCAGTCAACAGCAACATGGTCTATCCAAATCTGGAAACACCCCGATTCTTTCCTTTTCCTCACCCTTCCCCCTAACCCCACCCCAACCCTGATACATGTAATTTGCCGCCATCTTTCCCTCTGCTACTGAGACCTCAGTCAAAACACCATTGCCTCTCCTCTGAACTTGGTAATAACCTCCGAAGAGATATTCTGCCTTTGCCCCCTCCTTTAATTCCTTCCCCCCCATAATGACCCAGGGCTGTCCATTAAAAATGCAATCCAAGTCCCATCCCACTACTATCATTGGAATAAATGTAGAGTCCTTACCATGGCCTCTAGAATCTTACATAACCCAGCTGCTTGTGACCTTGCTGACTCCATTCCCACCATTCTCCCCTTGCTCAGGAGTCCCAGACACACTGGTCTTTCTGTTCCTTAAATCAAGCCCCTTCCCACTTAAGGCATCATCCTGACTTGTTCTCTGTGCCTGGGTCTGTGCTGTCCTTATCCTTTGGGTCTCCACATAAGCATCACCTCCTAGGAGAGGCCTTCCACGGCCACGTTACCTCCTTGGGTCTCTTTCCTGCCCACTGTCTCTACCTCCCCACCACGGGTCACCTTCCATCATGTTCCATCTGCTCGTTTCCTTCAGGGCACCAATCACAGCCTGAAGGTAGAGGGCTGGTTTATTAACTTCTTTGTTTATAGTCTGTCTGTCCTCATCGGAATGTAAGCACCATGATGACAGGGAACCTGTCTCGCTTGCCACCGCAGTCCTAGAGCCCGGTGTGGAGGAGGCCCTCGACCACGACTTGCTGAAGGACTGAAGGGTGAATTTCTAACACACCTGAGAACACATCTGCCTTTTTGCAGCAAAAACTCATTAGGAACAACAATAAAACATTTTTTTGAAGGCTATTCTGATAGAATGCCTAAGGATTCCCAGTGGGACAAAGAGACCAGAAGCCCAATGTCATCCAACTACACCCTCAGTTGATTAGCCCACTCCATTTGTCTACGGGAGAGCTCTCCAACAACAAGCTGGGATTGAATTCATGGGGCTTGGCTGGGGGTTTTGAACCATACCTAGGGGGGATGTTGACCTGCCCTGCTTCTCCTCCCAGCCTTCTGCTGAAGGAGGATCCAAAGCATGCAGGATTCCCAGCCAAGACAAGCTGTATTGCTTGGAAAAGATGCGCCCAGGAGCTCTCCCACCAATAAGCCAGAAGGGATCAGGAAACCCATTTCTGGGCTGCCTGGCTGGCCTCTCAGAACATTCCTTTGCACTGAGAACACCCAATTCCAAATCAGGCCTCTAGTCCTCAGGAAACTGCAAAGGGAAAGGTGCTCTTTAGCCACTGAGTTCCCTTAGGGTGAAAGGGAGAGGAAGCAACATTTATTTGTTGAATGGGTGAATACTACACACCAGAGGGCCCTGTGGATTTGGCTTTATACAAGGAAGGGCTCTAAGATAATACATACATTTACATTCTCAACACCATGAGAACTTTCTTATTTCATCTTTACTTCAGCCATATAGCATAGATATTATTACTTGCACTTTAAAGATGAGAAAACGAATTCTCAGAGAGGCTAAGTAACTTGCCCAGAGTCACATGGGTAGCACGCAGCAGAGCTGGGATTTTAGCACATGTCCCTTATTACTCCTGCAGCTTATTTTATGCAAGCAGCCGGATAAACTCTGGATGCCGTTCCTAAGCTGTGCCACAGTGAGGAACCACAAGATTCTCCCATTTAATTGCAGGCAGCAGGTAAGAAATTAAGGTAATAAGTGGATCTGCCTCTGCACTGTGTTGTGAGTAGGTGGCTTCTTAACCCTTTGCACCTCCCTTGCTAGAAGTAATCTCTAAATAATCTCTAACTTGGTGACTTCTTCCCTTTGGATTTCTACTAAATGACTCTTCACCATATCAAGAAGGGTTCTTTGTCATCGTTTCTAAATTTATCCCGGCTGCTCCAGGCCAGCTAATGCTCACAAAGCTCCCTTGACCCGGGCCTGCAGGACAGAGCCCGCAGTGGAGCCGTTAGCCTTTCTGTGGGAGCTTTCAGAAGCCTCACATCTCTGTGTTGGGTTCTTGTAGTATTCTTTATTAGGCACCAGCAGACCCCCATCTCTTCCCCTGGCAGGTTTCTGGCCCAATTCAGGGCACAAAGCCCCTCCCACCCCAACCACACCCTGACAGCCCCACACTGACACTCCCAGCGCCCTTGCCAAGGTCTAGGGGAGAGGTTCCTTGTCTCATGAAAAGGTTTAGGATGCCCTAAATGGTTTCCTCTTGAAAACAGGTCTCCATAGGGTCCTCAAACACTGCTCCTCAAACTTTGATGTGCATATGTCTCTCCCTGGGGTCTTGCTAAAATGCAGATTCTGATTCAGTGGGTCTGGGGTGTGCCTGAGATCCTGCATTTCTAACAAGCAGCCAGGATGTACCCATGCTGTTGGTCTAGCGCTCAGGACTCCTTGGACAAGTCTCTCTGATTCTATTAAAAACTTAGGGAAAATCAGGGGCGCCTGGGTGGCTCAGTCGTTAAGCGTCTGCCTTCGGCTCAGGTCATGATCCCAGGGTCCTGGGATCGAGCCCTGCATCAGGCTCCCTGCTCAGTGGGAAGCCTG